AATAGATTTTGGTTTGACTGTATCTATTTGATAAATGAAGTTAACCAACTAATACTATACATACTCTTTTGGTTTCTGTACCCCATATTTAAAAATTGTACAAATGCAATAAAAATATCGGTATCGGCAAGTACCAAAAATAAAAGTATCTGTATCGGGCGAGTACTGGAAAAAGTGGTATCGGTGCATCCCTATTGGTTTACTAATAATAAATATAAGAGGAACAGCATAAACTGTTCTAATTGTTTTTTTTTTTTTTAGATGTGTGGTATCTAAAAGAAAAAAAAATAATCTGATTTATTTGGAATGTTAGTTTTGTTTACTTATGCCACTCATGGGCAGATCGGATTGATCCCTGCTTCTATTCTCTCTGAGCTTTTTGCTACTGTATGTAGTGCAAGTAGCAGTCAAATTAATCACTGAAATCATGAACCCATGTCAAACATGTGACTTAGTATGAAATCATTCTGATTATAGCAAAAATAATCCTAACCGCATAGTCAACAAACATCCTGACAGGCAACCTGCTAGCTTCTCTGGATCTGCCTGGCATGCATGCACACAGATTTGTGGGTTTGTGGTATGATACGGAAATGTATTCCTGCACAAATGTCAAAAGACTGCCCCGTTTCAATATTAGATCAAAATCAAAACATGATTAACTTATTAAGACAGGATGTTTTCCTGGCTGCAGCAAAAATCTCAAGGACTTCATAAAGATTTATTTGATGCTCTCGGTCAAATGGCCAGTGTTCGGTGTGCAGTCTCAGCTTCTGACATTCGAGGGTTGAAGCTATTTTAAGGAGACCCCAGTGCCTCTGGTAGGTCCACCACACGCCACTGTACAGCGGCTTCAATAGAGCTGAAGAATGGCTCCATTATTCCCCCACAAACACATATACTTTCACAGAGATCCACCCACTTCTGACCTGATCTCGCTGAAACTCACCACTATCGGAAATTCCCCTGTTTTGTGAAGGTGGGAACAAAACAGAACAGAATGAATCACTGAATAAGAGTGAAGGTTGAAAACAGACCTTTTTAAGAAGATTTTAATGAGTTTAATAATTAATCTTAAAGATTTTAAAGGCTTTTGCTGCCGGCATATGCAAACAAAAACAAAAACACCATCTCAGGTGAGAAATTAATGTGAAGTGAATGTTGTTGCAATATAATGAATGTGGAAATTGCAATGTGATTATTCCATGCATTTTATCATCATATATATATATATATACCTACATACACACACACACACACACACATACACCGCCGTTTAAAAGTTTGGAGTCAGTAAGATTTTGTCTTCTTTTGAAAGAAATTTATACTTTTTTTCCCAGCAAATTTGCTGAAAAAATTTATCAAAAGTGACAGTAAAGAAGAAGAAATAATAAGAATTACAATGATTTTATAAGGATCATATGACACCGAAGACTGGAGTAACAGCTGTTCAAATTATAAAAATATATAAAAATATTATTTTAAATTGTAATATATTTTACAATATTACAGTTTTTACTGTATTTTTGATTAAATAAATGCTGCCTTGGTGGGCATGAGACTTCTTTTAAAAACAAACAAAAAAATCTTACTGATCCAAAAATTTTGCACGGCAATACATTTTGTCTGCAATAAATAAAATAATAAGTCTCTGAACTCAACTAATAACCATATGGTAGCTTTGTAAAATCCTCTACAAAGCTTAAAAGAAAAAAACAAAACAAATTTGTTTCAACATTCTGACACTCACTCTGCCACCAATTCAAACATGAACCCATCTACAAATATATAGCCTGCCCTGTGTGTTTATGCGAGTGTGTGTTTGTGTACATGTGTGGGTGAGCATCAGGAAATACCAGGCCAAGCATTCCAGCTCGTCAGCACCTCTGGACCTCATGTGACTGGAGACTGGACACAGCCCAGATTGTGTGTGCAAGTTTGCTCAAGAAGCATGATAAGAAAATTTAGTAAAAGTGAGGGAGCGGAAGGGCTAAAGGAAGGATAATCTGATATGCATGACTTGTGGTTTCTCCTAGTGCCTCTCTTTTCTTTGCCCTGGCAGAAATGGCAGTTTGCATCCATAATTTACAGGCTTCTCTTCTCCCAGCAATCTGGCCTTTATGACTCCGCCCCCTTGCAAACTCATTAGCATAATGTAGATGCTACTAAAAAAAAAAAACACGCATATTTTCACCTTCGAGCTGTTCCATGTCTCATCAGTACACAAGACCAGGCAGAAAGCGGTGAACGTATTACAGGCTCAAGATGAAACACTTTATGCCACATGTGCTGTTTAGACGAATGTCTCTGACTGCCTGCTAAAACTGATTTTTTTCCAAAGAATCTCACATCTCAGTAACTGTGCCTGCCTTTAATAAATCACGCAAAAAAAACCTGACAATGACGTTGTAAGGGGAATAACAAAGCAGCGAGTGATTTGAGAGGCCCCGCTGCTAATTATGACTCATGTTATATAGAGCGTTCTGTTGCTGCTCAAAAACACTAAATAAATTCGCTGTTTGACTGTGCTCAAGAAATATGAGCGTCTGACACGATAGCGTGCGTGCTTTCCCGTTTTTAGCACCAATTACGCCACTCGAGTTAATTCGGGAAAGTTGTTTTGAAGATAACGCCATGCGAGCGGCACATGTGTGTGCAAATCTGCGATTAGGTGAACAATCATTAGCAGAAATGAGCAGTGAAGGATCATCAGTCAAAGCGCTTACCGGAGGATGCAGTAGATTTCTTTGTTCAGTGTTTGGCAAATTCACTCACATATCCTCATCAATCATAGAAGTGATCTGGAATTTTAAAAAAGAATACATTATATCAATCCTTTGCCAAAGTAAATGGTGTGCACGGTTACATATGTTCTTCTAAGTATTCATAATCCCCCATTCTGTACCTCCCCTGCTTGATAATGTCACACTGCTAAATAAAGGAAGCACACGGTTAGACTCATTCTGCACATGGGATCATGCACCATTATGATCAGTGGCATTTATCAGCTAGTATAGAAGACAATCTAACCGTTATAGCATTGATGATATAGAACAGCAACTGTAATATTTTTCATAAACAACAACCAAATTTAATTACAAGAAAAAAGCTGTCTTTATCAACATAAAAAAATGATAATCCGACAACTGGCCTGGTCCAACTGATCCACTGATTCAAACAAACTGACCATCCGAAGATATCGAACTAAATGCTTGTGGATTTTAGAATTTAGTTTTGTAATGTGAGATATTAGATTTGTAATTTGCATTTTAAATTTTAAAAGTTTGTCTATTTTAAATTGTTAATCTATTTAATGCTGATGTAATGCTAATGTATGCACGGGGGGCGTGGTTTGAGTAACAACAACAAACATTTATATCCTGTCTAGACCACAACACAGGTTATCTACAACGGAATAAATCACACAATGAGATTTAACAACATACAACATCTTGCGAGTTTGAAAGTCATTTTACAACTTTTAATTGACACCATTAAATATTCTGGGAAAAAAACAGAACATGTAATTTGCAGACAAAGCCTGAAAGCTTTTTTAGGACTAATGTAGCACTAAGAAATGCAAAAACTAAATTGTACACTCAACATTCTTAACTCCAGCTCAATTATAACCAATAAGCAAAATCATCCACTGTGATTATTTAATGGACACATCCTCGACTCAAAAAGTCAGGGTTCAAAGAAAATCCAGGATTTCCCACTGGCACTTACGACACATGTGCGCGCTTCTCGTAAAATATGATAATTCTGACATGACTTGAAGGCAGCAATAATCTGTTCATATAAAACTTTCTGTCTTTGTTTATCTTTCTCATCTGCTTCTACAGCTCCACCATCCGTATCCTGTCATGCAACTGTCATTGAGCCTGAATTAATGGATTTATAATCTAAAGGGATCCGTGTCTGATTCTTGGCCCTCCGTATGCGACTGGAGTGCAGGGACTATTAGGTGTGTTTATTGCTTGAATCCCTGCTATCAACCCCTATGGACCCATATAGATGTAATTTGATATGAATATTTCAAGTCAGCTTTTGTAAAAGCAAAACTACTGATATCCTAATGGGATCATGCTTTGACTATTAATTGACTTGTTTATCCTGACTGTATTTCTAATACCCACATACCACTTTTGATTTACCAGAATATTGTAATTGTGTCAGGTCATAGTGTCTACGGATACCAGAATGATGATGATAAAAATAATAACAACTTCCACACAGTATGCTATTAAATTACACTAAAATCTGGTCGGCCGCTGTGACCTACTCATTTATTTTCTTATTTTTGAGTCAAATTAAATTGGACATATCCTTTTAATTAACAAAATGCTCCACAGTACTTGCATGAAGCATTTGAGAACAGACAAAATGTGAAGTGCACATTAACGTCCTACACAGAGAACATCCACCAGTGTTATTCCGGACACGATGCCCAAGGACTTACTGAAATAAGGTTTAGACACGAGGATGTTATAGGTTATTCCTTAAGGACTGCCACTGCTCCAGATTTCAATGGGCTATTACCGTTTTAATTGGTACAATTAGGTTATCGAAACCCACATCTGATGAAACATCCAGCATCATAATCAAATTTATACAAATATATTTTTAAAATAATTTTTAAAAATCTATAAATGTAAAAAAATAAAAGCATTTATAATTTTTTTATAAAAAATAATTAATATAAAATTTAACATAATAATAATAAAATAAATCATTTTTTATAAAGAAAATATAAATGCATGTCTTTCTGAAACATTTAAAAAACAATTAGACGCATTTTATAATAATAATTAATACAAAAACCCTGCATGAACATGAAACCTTCGTGACAGAGCAACAAGTATCATTTACTTATGAAGAAAATATGACCTTCAGGCTGGATGACTGATCTGGAGTCACTCAGCATGAGAGAAACCCATGAGATGGACTGATACTAACAATAAAGGAAAGACACAGTCGGGATACAGGAGGCCGAGACAGCAAAGGCTTGATTATCCACACTTTCACGGTCACAGAGCACAACTTGAGAGCAGTCTATAGCCGACCTCCTCTGGTTCTTGGACTGCAGTGGCACTCAGATGGGCTGCTGGATTGGGGTGCATTGTCTGTGCTCCACACTCATTAGCTGAGTCAAGGAGAGACTTACTGGGGTGTTTTGCTCGCCGGGTTTGTGTGGCAGCTCAACAAGCTCTCCCAGCTGGAGTACGGCTCTCACATCACAGCTGCACACTTACAATTAGTGCAGGTGCAGCTGAGGAAAGACCAGGCACAACACAGACAAACACACAAAGAGAAGAAAACACACACTTACAGAGGTGTTGCACATCTCCGATGAGGGCTGTTGCATGTAAAACAAAGCGCTGATGAGTCGAAAATCAGCTCATTATAAAAACCGACAATGTGTGGGTTTTCTCTGGTTTGGACACTGAAGATGTGCCTGTTTTGCCTAAATGGTAATGACCTTTACATGATAAAAGCTTATTTTATGGCATTCAAATTAACTTACACATCATTAAGAATAATCAGTGTATGATCAAGCATGTAAACACAATTATAATAGATTTTAATATGAATCTTCTTTCATTAGCATGTTCAAATACACTTCTGTTGTTCCTATCTGAACGAAAACTAGCATTCCATTATGAAGCTAAATTGTTCTGGATGAGATAATGCACCAACTGCATCATTTTCCAAATATTTGCAGAGAAAAATAAAAGCCAGGCTTGTGGTTTTCCCCTCAATCTCATATTGATCCAAAGAGCCTTGCTTGCAAAACATTATCACAAAACTGAGCACGGAAACAAATTACATGACAAAAGCAGCCATTGATTTGAGAATCGTTTATTAAGGGGACACTAAAAGTGAAATGAATTCTAGCATTTTAAGCTTTGTTTCTCAGGCACACAGTGAGGCAATGCAGAAAGCTGGAATGCCGAGGCTGTCTTGCATCTGGAGTCGTCTCTGATGCATGCCATAAAAGATGACATTAAGCAGAATGGGCCGGCAAAACACACAACATGCAGATCTGAATAATTCATTTAGGGCTCAACCCACTGGAGGGACATGTTTTTTTCCCAATTGGTTTTCTACATCAAAATCAGAGCGTATATTTGCTCCGACTGAAAAAAAGGCACAACATGAACATTCTGCGGACATACAAATTAGCAAGCAGGTGTCTTCACATGTGGTGCAGACCTTTATTTTTCTCTGTACAGTTCAATAGAGACTGCAGACTGCAGACTGTTGTCTGCCTTATTAGGCTCTTTTCCAGGGGCAGTGGGTAATGAGACTTCACACAGACAATAAAAAACTCACAGCCAATCACATGAGAGTGATGCAAGACATCTGTCACCATGTTTTCCGCAGCTCTAATTTACTCAGTAACTGTAGTAGGCAAGATACACTCTAAGAGGGTTATCAGTGAAGAAGAAAAAGCTAATGTCAGACTGCAGAGTAACAGTTGCAAGCTTTTCCATGTTACAAGGCACAGCTTTTAATAATAATATAATATAATATATTATATAATAAATGTAAGTTGCATGATAATGTTTGTTTTTTCAAAGAATATACATATAAAAATCATGCAATAATAATAATTAGTAGTAGTAGAGGTTGTTGCACTAGTAATAGTATTGAATATAAGTATTGTTTATATACTTCTAAATCGTTCTAAATATATCTAGCTAATCTAGCTATGTATTTATATATAAAATAATAATAATTATTATTATTATTATTTATATAAAGTTTCATTTATATAAAGTTCATGATTTTAATAAGAATTTATTTTTAATTTGAAAAATCCCTAATATTTCCAAATTTATCATGTCCATTTAATTCCTGTATACTGTAGACGAGTTTCAATCTAAGCAAAAACTTTCTTCTCAATCAAAAAGCCTCTTTGTCAGAGACAATTGCAAACAAGTGCAGATTTAAAAAAACATTTAAAAAGCATCACTGGCAGTAAACAGATTGACGAAGTTAAAGATCCAATGATGCAAAGTTCAAATGTATGCATATGAAACCAGAGAGAGCCATGAACAAAATCAAGATAAAGGAACAAGAATCAAGATTGAAAATAGTCACACAATATCTTTCCAGCAAACCGAGCACTGTAATCCTACACGTTTCAGCAATATAGCTAGAGATTTTTAATTACTTCGCTCGGCAGCTGGAAAATGCCACAGTAGCCCAAAAGTTCACAAGGCCCCTTTTATTCAAACTCCAGTTATACAGGCAAGCGTCCAAGCCTGCCAACCACTAAGCATTCAGCTGGGCCTCCACCAGCGGGCCAAGTCAAGCAGACAGCCACAGCCATGCGCACAAGAGCGAGGGGCTTGCTGACACATCTACAACCCTGACGCAGGGCAGAAAAATGCACAGGCCCACTCTAGCCTTTTCTTTGCGGCCGAGCTTGAACGTTCCCAACAATTACAGAGCTATTTTCTCTGAAAGGGCAATTCCCTGTTTATTGGTATCCGCCTGTCAAAGGCTTTCCCTCATCAAATATAAGTCAACAGCAGGTTCAGGCCATCAATCTAACCTTCGGCATGCCTGACACAAGAAATCTCTCAGCATTGCTCTGATTTGAATTCGGCTCCCACAGTTCAGATGTCACTGATACTTTGGCACACATATACATGTACATTTGACATGCAATGGGCCTATACACACATTTAAAAAACAAAAGTAGAATAATTATCATAATAATAATAATACAAATATACTAATATACACTAATACTAATATTATTATGCATTATTCACAATATGCCTCCGCA